TCTGGCAGGCATTTTTTGCTAAATTTGGTACTTTTTGTTTCAACAATAGAATTTTATGGGTTTTATGTCAAGTTACTTATGGTTTCTAATATTAATAACATCCCATATATTTTTATGTAAATTTTGTCATTAAATATGCATAATTTATGCTAATTTGATGACGTCATTGGCCACAATCCAAGATGGCGGACCATATCATTAGAACAGGTATATACAGGTTATTTTCATAAAAATTTCATCAATACTTCCATTTCTTTTTCCAAAAAAGGTTAAGATGAAGGTCTTTAGTATGTTTACTATGTATTTTAGGCTTTATCATGAAAAAAAACTATTTTTGAAAATTCAAGATTAATGATCCAAGATGGCGGATATCTTAAATATGCATGACGTCATTTTATGACGTCACCGGTGTTGCTATGGGCAACATAAGACTTGGTACACCCTAATATTCTGTCATAAACACTTTTGGTACAGTTATATTGAATACCTTTTAGTTTTCAGGGAAAAACCTATCTAGACGGTTTTGGCCAATAAAATCACATTAATGACGTCATAATGACTTCATATTACGTTATAACGGCATTAAAATTGTAGATGTGATAAATTTTCACTAGTACACCATCCTCTGAAAATTTGGTGGTCATACAACATACCGTTGGCGAGTTCTGAGGGGGGGTCAAAAGAGCCCCCCCCCCGGTCCCCCCATGCCAAAAAAAGCCCGGTCTAGGTAGTGTTAATAGACCTTGTCAACTCTAGTCTATTCGGCAGAATAGTGACGCCTACATTTCTATTGAACCAACCACTGTAATGTCTCGGTTACTATTCCAATATGTAATGCTTATAATTTGAACAATATGTAAGCTTTACTTAACATGTTGCAGTCTACTTTTCACAGAAGAATATATGAAAAAGTCTGCAGCCCACATCATCATCACCTTGCTCTGAAAAACAGTGCTTAACTTAAAATACACTATGATGTTAGATGTTAGAATTTTTACTTTAAACATAGCATTTTTAATAAAATTTCAAAACATCAACTTTTTTGTGTTGTTGATATATCATTATGCTCCTAGGAAGTTGTTGAAATCCTGGGATCATGAAAAGGATAAGATATGGTTTGGTCGGTGTTCATATTAGTTTCTTAGAAAATGCTAATAAACGACTAATGGCGACTAAAATCTGTTTTTGTTACAAGTTTGCTTGTTCATAAACTTTCTTCAAATATAGATAAAGTTTTCTTTATGATGTGTATATTAAAAGAGCACATTTAGAGTAAGAATATTCCTAATTGTCACCTACAAAATATGGAAATCAGGCAAAACGTTTTCGGCATTTTCAGCAGTAGCTGAAACTCTAATAGTTAGTTTCCGGGTCGTGTGACGCGTCCCTTGGATCCGGATGTGGTACGTTTTTATACTGTCCCCTAGGCTATAGTGACCGGACGGTTGTCGGCTCCAGGGTTTAAATCCAAGGGAGACGCCGTACCCGTCATCGCCTCAGCTCCAGGTAGTAGGGGCTGGGCTGTGGTGGCTGATAGGATAGTGGTTGGACGGTTTCCATGGGAACCTCGTACTCGTCACTTCCGCTTCCGGGTCGCTGCTGTAGTTCCAGGTGGTGGTCATTGGGCTGGTGTGTTTGGACAGTTTCCATGGGAACTTCGTACTCGTCACTTCCGCTTCCGGGTCGTTGCTCCAGCCCCAATCGGATGTCACTGGACTGGCGTGGTTGGACGGCTGGCGGGCGGAGGGTTTCCATGGGAACCTCGCGCTTGTCACTTCCGATTCCGGTTCGTTGTGACGCCACCTTCGCGTCATCTATGGTGTCATACACCCTGTCATCGTTGTCCCTGACGCCTGGAAAGACGTAGAAATTAACATTATAGTTATGCTGCCACTTTTGACCAATTGTTGATGACGTCTCAGCATTTCTAATATCACATGACCCGTAAATTTGTGAGATTACAAGTATTCCAACCTGAAGAAGATTGTCGTGAAATTGATAAAATACTGTAGCCGATACTTGATAATATGCTAAGTGGAGATCAAAATTGAATCTTACTGCAACTAAGTTTCTGGAATCAAATCATACATCATAGGGACTGGTGTCAAGGTTAAGGGAGTATTTTTCCTACTGAATTTGCGAAATCAAAGAAATGTTTACGGGGAAAGGCATATGATGCATTCAAGAAAAATCTAATTCTTTTGACTCTTCACTGCCACAGTAGAAGCTTGGACGCTCACTAAATCCCTAGAGAGGCGTATAAATGGCTGCTACACAAATTAAAGATGCTCCGTATGTTCCTTACCTCCGTCCTCCGTACCCATGCCAGCCCGTTTCTTGTGAATCAGGAAGACGCACATGTACACCAGGGCTGCTACCAGAACCACGGCTAGAATCGCTCCGACAACAATACCGGCAATAGCTCCTGCACCCAATCCTGCAACTAAAGCAGAATGTCAATGCTTTATACACAATTTTAAAAGTATTTTTTAATCTTCTTGGAAGTATTCTTATTAACTTACGGGCATAAATTCTGTATCATCATTGTACCTGTACCCATTATCAATGTTATGGTTACTATTTAGCTAGTACATTGTATGTTGTGCCTCATGTCATTCATTGTATATGTAATAAGCATGGACGTCTTATTATGAATTACATTTTAAAATGCAGAGGCTAGATGATGCTTTAGCCTATAATCCATTTTGTCTTATTTGTATAAACGCTGTAATAGAAGACCTAAGTCAAACTCAAGGCTACTTTTATTGTTCGACATTTTTAACTACGCCCTCTGCGAAATATTACAAATATAAACGCGCACCAGATATAGTATATTTTTTCTCTTTGCTAAGTTATCTTAGTTACATGTATCTAAAGGGGAAAACGTCAAAACTACATCTACAGAGATATACCTGCACAAGATACCCCTGTATCACATTCCCGTGTCTCCTGTTATGGCCCGCTACAGTATGTCCCACCGTTCTCTGGTGCAGGGTTGGCGCAGGTTAAACGATAAGAGTACTAAAATACATCTGTGGTGATATAACGTATACTTAAAGCTACCTGGACAAGACACGCCCGTATCACATTCCGGTGCCTCCTGAGCAGGTCCGTCACAGTCCGTCCCACCGTTCTCTGGTGCAGGGTTGGTGCAGGTTCTGTTTCGAGTCTCCGTCCCGACACCACACCTCACGCTACAGGCAGACCACGGGCTCCAGTCAGACCAACCACCGTCAACTGCATTGAGATAAATTAAAACTGAAGGTACTGAAAACCCTGAGTCTCCACCATTCAAATGAGTGCCAAATGAGTACTGAAATTACATCTCTGGCGATACATGTTTATAGAGCAACCTGGACACGACACTCCAGTGTCGCAATCTCGTGTCTCCTGATCTGGTCCATCACAGTATGTCCCACCGTTCTCTGGTGCCGGATTGGTGCAGGTTCGGTCCCGAGTCTCCGTCCCGACTCCACACGTCACGTTACAGCCAGACCACGGGCCCCAGTCGGTCCAACCGCCGTCAACTGCATTGAGATAAATTAAAACTGAAGGTACTGAAAACACTGAGTCTCCACCATTCAAATGTTGAAATGAGTGCCAAATGAGTACTGAAATTACATCTCTGGCGATACATGTTAGAGCTACCTGGACACGACACTCCAGTGTCGCAATCTCGTGTCTCCTGATCTGGTCCATCACAGTCTGCCCCTCCGTTCTCTGGTGCAGGGTTGGTGCAGGTTCTGTCCCGAGTCTCCGTCCCGACTCCACACGTCACGTTACAGCCAGACCACGGGCTCCAGTCGGTCCAACCGCCGTCAACGCCGACAACTACAAGTACAACGACAGGATATATTTAGAGCCTAAAGCAGTCTCGACCTCTCAAGCCGATAACCGATGTAATGACAATGTAAACTGATTTTAACGAACGTAAACCTGGGTATACTTGTTGTTAACGTTGTGCCATGTACAAGGCCATTTAAAGCTTAAATGACGGGTACTAGTAGTATCATCCAAACTCTCTTTAATTTGTCTCAGTTATAAAAGGAAATGAGAGGATTAGGATCTAGGAATCCATGCTCCGTACATTAACCTTCTTTTGGACAACGCCGCCAATAGTTAAGAGAACTTTATAACTTCCACTTTCAGTCTGCTGTGAGGCCATTTTGCCCTGAGCGTCCTGAAATAATATCCTGTGATGAAACGTAAGTACCATAAAGAAATAACAGTCCGGTATAATTAAATGAGCAACAATAGTCAAGCGCAAGAATGGTATATTTCCAACGACTGTCCAAAAGACGTTAGATGACTCCTCCCGGCATATTGACAGTGATATAAAATTGCCCGTGGACTAGACTTTTACCAATGCAGCAACAGAAACATACTGTTTGTGGTGCAGCCTAGAATCTCCACCCTCATGAGGATACGATTGTGCCAGGTCTGAGGGTAGAAGCGCACATAACGGGCATCGACGGGGTCGTCCAGTAAGTTCATTACAAGAGTCTTTGTGTCCGTGTTGCCCGCAAAGACCTGGACAAAATGTATAATTCAAATGAGGGCTTTTGTTTCACACATCTTTTATACTACCAAAGACACCAACAACTTCCATACTTTTGACATTCTATTTAACATAAGCAGTGTTCAATAAGTTAAACCCAATTCATCTAACGCAGCCATCGTTTGCACGTTTGTGATCGCAGCGAAAAATTTTGAAAAACATATGATTGAAACGGAACAGACTAAAGCAAGGGCAAATTTCGTATTTTGTTTAGGGCATGTTTTATGTATAGGAATACAATGAATACTTTGATGTAGATATGCATGATATTAATTAAGATAATTATGAATCTTCAGCTATCTTTAAAGAATATTGATGTATCCAAGTTACCTTATCTGAGCCGCCGCTGTCTGCATATGTCGTCCAAAAAGTTCCATTCCCACTATAGTCAAGTTTGTACGACGTCACCCATGAATAGTGAAAGGTATAAGCAGGGAAGAGGCCACCCTGAGTGAGGATGCCTGTGACGTGTTTCATCATCCCAAAATCCACCTAAAAGGTATACATGTTTTGACCTTTATAATAACGTAGCGTGTAGTGGATAATTCTAACAACAACGCCGTAATTAATATTATTTTCAATGTATTGAATTATGCAAGGTAAAAGCCTGGGTACTGTACTTAATTCTAGGGAAAAAAATACCTACCACAACGTTAACGTGCAAGCATACACGAGGTGAAAACCCTATAATGTCTACTTACCTGTAACCATTGTCCGGTTCTTTGGTGCCCTGGTCCCCAGCCACCCCAACCCCTGGTTTCTTTTAACCGCCCGAAGTAGGGCAGTTGACTGGAGTCCGCGTATTCAGATGCAGTGATGCTGCCATCAGGTATGGTGCCAGATTCCATCCCAAGTGGATTCTGACAGACTGGGAGGAGGGGGATAAATTGCATTCCTGTTGGTTTATATTTCCTTAAAGCGCGTAATGGAAAATGTTTTATTTGACACAAAACAGAAATACTGTAACGGTTAATTATAGCACGGAGATTGGACCTAATGTATTCTATTAAACGAACATAACAGAAAAGGTATACAATTCTAGTCTATACTAGATGGGGAAAAAGTAACGATTATTACATTTTCTACGCTCATCCAATGTAACTCAAATTGGGAATTCCACCTTGCAGCATTCTTATCCAAAAGAGAGGTAAATACATCACAATAGTCTCGTGTTAAGAAGATAATTTTGTATACGTATGTTTCACAAATTCGTGGGATGTTGATCCACTTGGTCATCCTTAACCCACCTGTGGTGAATGTCCCAGTGATTTCTCCGTTTTGTTGATTGCCCTGGTCAAAAGAAGTCAGCGTTAGGGTGTATTCTGTTTGGGCCAGCAGTCCCCGCACGGCTGTTGAGGTGGCTCCCGCTCCTGGTGCGGGAGAGAGGTCCTTAGACGAGCCCGACCCGTCTGCCGGCTGGTAGTGAAGCCTGTAGCGCGAGATCGGGAGACTCCCAACGACTGTCCATGAAACGTTCAGATGGCTCGCACCGGCATCATCGAGGGTCAGCCCCCAGAGCACTGGTAATAAATGGAATATTCAATTTGATTAACAAGATTTAAAGACCTCGACCTGTATGAAATATTTAGATATTGTTTTTTTTTTCTTCTCAATCACCAAAACGTCTAAAAGTCTTTATCGTGCAAGGGAAACAGCACTAGTTGTCAGCTACCAAAGAGATCATGTAATTTAAAACTACTGTAAAAACAGCCAGCAATGCCAGATGTAGGCGCGAGGCGTTCTTTCCTTGGGACTGACTAAAACCAAACACAATCATATATCGCCGGGCTGTCGATTACAAAATGACATAAGGACCTTGTGGAAACACACACACACACACACACACACACACACACATACCAAAAACAATATCTTTATTTTTTAATGCGGGTAACCATGATCACTAGACAAACAGCACTAACAACACTCTAACCGATGAAAGTCTACAACAGAAACCTACACTCAGTGTTGCACCCTAGAATATCCACCCTCATCGCGATTCGGTGGTTCCAGGACTGAGGGTAGAAGCGCACATAACGGGCATTGACAGGATTGTCCAGTAAGTTCGTTACAGGTGTGTCCGTGTCAGTGTTGCCGGTAAAAACCTAGAAGGCAAATGTATAATTTAGATCAGGGCGCAAGGCCCTGTAATCACCATACCTTTAAACTCCATCAGAAATATACTGTATATTCAGTAAGCTAAACCTACGCTGACGACAACCATAGGTGTGTGATACCCAGGTCATGTTATCAAGCGTGCAAATGTGATCACATAGGAACGTTTTGCGAAAATAATAGAACTGGACAGAATAGAGTCCGGACAATGTGGTATTTTAAAGAGGGTATGTTTATGTGTAACAAAAAGTAAATGTATGTATGTATAAGGTTACCGTATCTAAGCCATTGCTGTTAGCGTATGTTGTCCAAAACGTTTCATCTCCACTGTACTCGAGTTTGTACGACGTCACCCATGAATACCCAGAGTAAACCTGCATGTGGGCACCCTGAGTAACGATGCCAGTGATGCGCTTGATCACCCCTAAATCCACCTAATATAGTAAAAGGGCATTATCGTTTTTACTTTTATTATAATGTAACATGGAGCAAATCTTTCCAACAACACTAACGCCGTACGAAAGGTTGGGTACTTGCAGTGAATACAATTGCATTCAAAGAATTCTATTTCATTACATAGATGATTTCTTTTCATCAATTAAACTGTAAACAATCTACCTGTAACCATTGTCCGATAATTGAGCGCCCTGCTCCCCAGCCGCCCCAACCAGCAGTCCCCTGTAACCACCCGTAGCGGGGCTGTAGCTGACTGTGTGTATCGACTGCCGATGCAGTGATGCTGCTATCAGGTATGGCACCAGATTCCATCCCAAGCGGGTTTTGACAGACTGTGCGGAAAATAAATTAATTATACAATTGGTTTGAATGTCATTAAAAGATTCAACTGAAAGAAGAACTCGTATTTGTCTTTGATGAAAACAAGAAATACTAATAAGAACTAGAAAGGTAACATTTGCAAATGCATAAAGTTTACCTTCACCTGGTCTATCCCAACAAACTACTGCACTGTTTATTATTACTCAAAGCCAAATACATTCATATGTAGGGTGAGCAGGCTCACCAACTCTGTTCTTCTTCCCTTCTGCGAAGGTGGACATAATAATGATAATGTGGATGCAGTGCTTCATAAATTGTGTTTTTAAGACCAAGAAATATTTAACATGAGATTTACCTTGCCCAGTCACTGAAGCAGTCGTCCCTATCAGCACCAGGGCCACCCAGGACAAAAACCCTGATGTACATGGACCAGTCATCACGTCAGCGTACACACCTAAACACAAATCAGCAATTAGAGACTACATCCTGTCAGTCTGCGAGTTCAAAATACCTTCAGTACACATCATAAAAGAAAAAACAATAAAAAAACCTCGGCAAAATGCATCTTCAGCGTGCTGCATTTTACTTTTGTATCATAAGGCTGTTGAGCAGGTCATAAGTATACAGCCACACTAATTTACCTTTGTTAATGGCATAGCGCTGGGAGATTTAACATGTCAACGATTGTGATTGGACTAATGTGGTGGTGTGACACTGTTTGAAAAGAAGAAAGAGCGCCATGACACCAGGGCATTAAAGGAGCCTTTGTCTATTGTCTATTGTCTAACTTGTGGTCAAATTCTGAATGTATATTTTTCAAACGTAGCCACAACTAGTGCATTCTGTATACAACAGCAGAGCACGTCATGATTTCGAAAAGAATTGTTTAACATTACAAGAAAATTACCAAATATATGGGCCTAATTTCTGAGGAGGTCACCCAAAGATCGTTGGACTAGTAACGTGTCAGCCATTCTACCTTGCCATCGACCCTAATGATAAAAAAACTTAACTGCGGTTTGCCTTTTGTTTATTTTTGCATTTGTCCCCTCACTATCAGAGACAGTACAGAACTGCCGTCCTTGATAGAGATTACTTCCAATCGGTCTTTGATTGTCATGATGTTGAGAACGACTTGTTTTGAGACCAATTCAAGATATTGGAAATTCAGTTAATACAGTACTGAGTACTCACTCAAGACCGCATGCTTCCGAGGGGTGCTTAGCGTCTCGGCAGATTGTTCTCCGGGTAGATCTATCTCAGGCTGCCTCTCAAGCAGTGTTGAGGTCGAGGTCGTCCTTCAGTTGGCCACACCTCTGCTACAGAACCATGTGGTAGTAGGGGTTGCCTTTATACAGCAAAGCTCGACATTTAAAATCTGACTGCAAGCCAACCAGATTTTACCCTATTATTTGCTCCCTTTTCAGAGAATCGTTATGTGAAGACCCGCCCATTTCAGGTTCTGACTGCAAGCCAACACGATTTTACCCTATCGATTGCTTCCTTTTCAGAGAATTGCTGTGAAGACCCATCCATTTCTTGTTCCGGAGTGTGTACGTGCCAGGTGTCACAAGGATACGCGACAAGGAAACGGTTTGTTCTTAGGCCCACTATGCCACTATACAATGTGTGTTTGTTGGTCTGTAAATCGTGCCTTCGGGCAAGGTCTGTCAAGTCGTCGAGGAATAAGTCAAAATAATACGCTTCTTTGTAATTGTTTGATTGATGGAAGATGGTCAGGCTACAGTCGTTATTACAATCTTATGCAGGTATGTACGGTTTAAAGGTTTGCTCAAAGAATTTCGTAGACAAAGAACTTTTTACGTTGCGTGTCTTTAATATGGTACTTTCACATCCTGCATCATATAGCAATTGTTGTAGGATTTTCATACAGCTTTAAGGCCAGGTCGGAACAATGCTCCGGCACCCTTTGCAAGATTACTATCTTTGCCCTTACGTGTCCAGTAGGGGTGAAAACAACTTTGTAATGGGTGGGAGGAATTCAGACAAAATGCTGCTGATCTGAGAGGAGAATAAGACGTATAAACATAAAATACACTGGGGCCGTTAACGTGACATTGAATAGAGAGAAATGGTATCCTGTGTTGTGATAATCTAGACGTTTCTGATGCCACCCTCATATATAGAGCTGTTGTTTGTGGACAGCCCACGATAGATAGTAACTTTTTAAAACATCGCATTGTCAAAATTAGCCTCCGTGGTTACGTATCTTAAAAATGACTGGGGGAAGTTGCCTATTCCTGTTCCTTCTTACCGAAACATTTAGATTCATAACTACTCAGTACAGTGAAAATTAACCCTTCCTCGGCATCTTTTACGTTGTCAATGGCTTAATTGTGCTTAAATGCTTCAAGGCCAGGCTACGACAATAATCACATGTCCTTTGTAGGGTAATTATCCTTCACCTCAAATGTGCTGGAGGGGTGAAAACAACTGTTCAATTTCTGGGAGGCCAAATTCCGCCGAGTACAAGACGTTTGAACGTAAAACACACTACAGACCGACGGGTACATTGAATACCGTACCATCCCCGAGTGCAGTTACACCGACAATCGGTAGGATCGTAGACGGCATGTAGAGAGAAATGTATCCTGTGCTGTGATGATCTAGAGTCTACTTGTTGTTTTACCTGTATTCTCACAGAGATTTAAGCGACGATGATTACGACAAACATTCTCTTCGATAAAATTATGTTCCAGCAAGCTCTTAGTGATGGTGAAGCTCTTGACTAACTTCTCCACGCAACATATGCTGTTTACAAGTCACTTTACAAGTCAATTAAAAAAGCTAATATTTTTTTCTGACCTTCCTTTATGTAGCAACATTTGAATGTGCTACTTAATTGTCGCAATGCTCTATAAAACTCCGTTTGGTTAATTAATAATCTATATTTTATTATATTGTAGTTCACAGCTTTATCTGCCCTGTAATCTATTAATAACAAACATAAAGTGGCCGTAAGAGAAATGTACATTCCACAAGCTGTTGTTTGGTGTTAGTAATATTAGATCTTTTCGATGGTTCTTACGAAAAGCGGGGAAGTTGGTGATACAAAATAATAATCACAATTGAGTCCCTGTGGGTAGGCATTGATACATTTCCCAAACTGACCTTTCCTTGTGTTGCATCATTTGAATTTGCTACTTTCCTCATCCCTAATAGGAGCAGCTGATAGAGAGGACCCGGACCCAGTTGGAGGGACCTAGTCCGTGACCTATGCCCAAAGATGGGCTGTAGGCCTAAAAAAGTACGTATGTCATCCCTCATCAAGATATATAAAGGCCTCTGCAAACCCTTGCGTTGATTATTTTATATTATGACATCTGTGCTAAATAGCTATAGAGGTTTGGTTATTAGGATAAAACCTACTAAGTAAAAAAAATAGGTAAAAATGGCAAGTCATTACCAAGGCTAGCTGCAAATCTATTTTTTCAATAATATACTTGTTTTCCTTCTTTTGAGGGAGCCGTATATTTCGAAAGACCTTAGCTCTGTTGAAGAATTTGTGTTAGAATTCAAAGGTGTCGCCTCCTTTATTAATATTCCTTTATCATTGATACTACACTTAGCTCAGTATATTATATGTGCATAGACTATAACTTGGCGAACTTGTCGTCTGACATACGGATATGAAAGGAAGAAAAACAGAGACAAAATATTGCATGCAGTGAAATCTTTTATTGAAGTCTCAAAACAATCATTTAGGGTGATTGAGTAGTGGTTTGGCTTTGACCCGAGTTAAAACTCTTACTGCCAAACCATTCCGGCCTTGATGTAACTACTGTTACATCGCCTTGATGTAACTTCTGTTACACCTTAAGCACAGGCCATCCAGTTGACGCCTATACTATTCAGGCGTGTATCAGCCCAGGTCCAGAATCGCACGGTCAGGTGAGAAACATAGACGGACTGTACAACGACCGTGACGCGAAGGTTCCTGTCACGACTGTTGTCCACCTTTCTGAGACCAACGGTCACCACGGGGGTTCTCGGGAAGCTCCTGCTGAACGTGGCGGTCAGGTCGCGGTGCCGGCTGCCGGAACCGGAGTTGATGTTAGTGTTGAGTATACCAGACTCACCTAAAACGAAACATGAAATAAATAGAGAAAAAATAAGAGAAAATCCAGATGCCAGTGATTTCTTGTAAATGCTGGAATCAGCAAACGAATCGTAGATCGTTAATAATCGGCATTAAAAACGAGCGTTCGCCATGATGTCACGGCCAGCGAGTTACGGTTGGTATATTTTGCATGTGTCGTCAAATCATTTTGGATGTATATCATGGAAACAAATGCCTTTTTAAAAGCAGGCTGGCCCAAAATGGGAATAGCTTTTTCGACAGCGTCAGTTTGATGGCAATGTCGGACTAAAAGAATTGATGCCTTGAATTGGACTGATGTTATATCTAGGCCATAGGTAGGGCATGGAAGGAAACGTTCAAGTAAAAACAGGAGTTCTAGACAGGCCTAAAGCACAGAAGGGGCATAATATTGGGCCTGGCTGGGCATTGATGCATATAATAGTGCCTTTCAACACCCAACTATTGAACGCAACACTAAGCAAAAAATGCCTTGAGCAAAACAAGGCAACAGTTCTGCACTTAATTCAGTACGATTTATGTACTTTTAACAATACTCACAGCGGAAACTCTGGACCGTGCGCTCTCTGTTCGCCACCATTACCTGGAGCTGTCGTATCTCCTCCTGCTGCTGGAGGAGCCGGTGGATCACATCGTTCAGCGAGAAGGACACGGGAGCTGCTTAGAACAGCAAAGCATTTTAGAACGAACAGTAAACTAATGAATATGACAGTAACAGTAAAATGTAGCATTTTAAAGGCATCCGATTCGATTTCAGAGCAGCAAAACTGTAAATATTCTGAATAAATCAATTTTTATGATACTGCTTCACATTTATTTATAGCACATTTCAATCATTATTTCATACCTTGGGTATTTAACTGTAGAAACAACATCAAAGATGAGTCATTTATTTTATGGGCTCTACTTAAACCAGCCCAGACAGGGCCCTTCAACTAACCATTTTCTGTCAGAATTTTGGACATTTTGTCCCTTAGGGTTCATACACATTGGGGTACTGTGGTTTCAACTCAGTATGTCGATAAGTGACTAGAATATTGGCTTTGAAAGAAAACCGGGCTTCCAAACCCTAAAAACTGCGCTGGATGCCTTTAATAGACCCAAATAACCCACCTTCCGCATCCGTGTCTTCGGTCCCGCCAGCGCTGATGTCGCTGCTTCCTGCATCGATAAGTGCGGACGGACCTCGGGCGTCCAGCTGGGCTTCGTCTTGATCAGCCCCGCCAAACACTGAGGAAGATGATAAAACAAGTGAGTATTAAGAAAGCGTACATTCAAATTGACAGACCTGATATAACTCTGAAGAATGACCGATACGTCTTACCTTGCCCAAAAGTTCCACACAGAAGGATAAGGAGTGAGGTGTTCATGGTGACCCACGATGCTGCCACAACACTGTATGAAAATCCAAATGTCTAATCTAGGACTTTATATAGTGTCTTGTAATTTGACATAATGACATTGCATGCCCTGAAATCTATTGATAATGAATATGAAGTAGCTGTAAGAGAAATGTAAATGCCACAAGCTGCTGTTTTGATGTTAGTAGTGTTTGTACTTTTTAAAGGCTCTTGCGAAAAGCAGGAAACTCGATGGTGCAAATATTAATATTATTACAAATCACTTCAGGCAGCGATACCTTTCCTAAACTGACCTTTCTCTAAGTGTAAACATTTGAATTTGCTGCTTCCCTGTTTCCTTATTAAAGTTTATACAGACCTCTGCAAATATTTCATTCTGTTACTTCAAGTTCTGTGCTTTAACAAAACAAAGTTATATTTTGAGGCCACATATTAGAGCTCAACGCATAGTATATCATACTAATACATATAGCTTACAAATAACACTATGGAAAGCTTAGGATTTTTGTTACTTGAAAAACGTCCTTACAACTTGAAAATCTTTTATTTAAGAATTCATTTACCATCGACGCATAGTATAAAAGAGGTTTTAAGAAGTCGACTGGGAGAAAGACACGTCTTGTTATTGTCTGATGATTCAGTCCTTATCCGGCTGGGGTCATCATGGTCTGTAAAATTCCATTTCAGATGCTTGATCTGTTTAAAAAACATCCACAGGACGCTGGGCTAAATTTGAAACATATTTATCAAGACATCAAAAGTTTTTATCCGGCCTTGATGATTGATATGAAGACTTTGTGAGTCAACAGAGCTGTGTTGGCGGGGTGGAGAAGTGGGGGCACTAGAAGGGCAGGTGGCTTAATTTTGTGTTTGATGAATAGGATTTTTAAGAATATGATTTTGTGTTAAGGAGTGGAAAAATATAAAAACCATCCAAAGTCACCAAGATGACATCGTATGCCCTGAAATCTATTGATAATGAATATGAAGTAGCTGTAAGAGAAATGTAAATGCCACAAGCTGCTGTTTTGATGTTAGTAGTGTTTGTACTTTTTAAAGGCTCTTGCGAAAAGCAGGAAACTCGATGGTGCAAATATTAATATTATTACAAATCTCTTCAGGCAGCGGTACCTTTCCCAAACTGACCTTTCTCTAAGTGTAAACATTTGAATTTGCTGCTTCCCTTTTCCTTATTAAAGTTTATACAGACCTCTGCAAATATTTCATTCCGTTACTTCAAGTTTTGTGCTATAGCAAAACAGTTAGTTATTTTGAGGTCACTTGCTAAGTAACCGGAACGGTTGCTTCGATAAAAGCACTTTCTGGCGTTTGGAAGTCTCCGTTCGGCTTTTGCCAATATTTTTTTTTTCGGATGCATTCTGTATCCGTTCGTCTCTCCGGGACGATAGTTCAGGTTGCCTATTGCACAGTGAGTGTAAATCCTTCCAAGACTGGGCTTTTGGCGAATTCTTGGGGCTACGGAGGGGGTTTTGTTTAGCATCTATCGACGCCAACTAGTCATTACGTTATCTGTTACAGACGCTGTATTGACTCACAAACATTACATAAACACGAATTATACATAAGATAACGTACCCGTAACCGTCGAACATCCGTTTTGTACTTTGTCGTTCGGAAAAGCTTGTTTTCTGGACTCTATGATAGAGCTGGAAAGTGAAGCTACTGTACGGCGATTCACCGCGGGGAGATATTTACATACTCTCGCTGGGAATGAAACAACTGCCAAGTGTTTGTCGGTTGGAAACGATTCCGTTCACAGGTTATCATATATAAGAAGGTAAACATCCTCAGGACGTTATCTTGAGGAATGCAGGTACGGAGGTGATCGTTAATGGACAAATATCATAGGTATAACTCAAGGAAGGACAAAAATACCCCTCGTTTCTATGCTTTAGACAGAAACGAACCAGTGTCAGTTGGTCCAATTTTAGCATAATATCCAATGATTATAAAGCAACTACTTTCAAACATCTAGACAATTTACTTCAACTTTAAAGTCAAAGGTTCACGAATTTGTACAGAACGTTTTGTAACATAGAAATCACTATGTCAAAGACTATATTTTATACTAGAGAAAAAAATATACGGTTCCCATACTTATCAATTGACACACATGTACTTTTGATCAGTCACAAACAATGCAGTCATGTATAAGTTGATGGTGGGTACATCTAAAGTAGTGCCAGAATCCCTCCGTTGGCAGATGTCCCCTCTGAATCAGAAATACAACATAGATCGTCGTCACTATGAATGTGGTTAGTTCTATAATGCTAGGCTAGTCCCCTCAGTATTCAGAATGTCTCTGATTATACCAAGCATTCACGACCTTTTGCCGACTTTGTTCCCGAAAATCAGCTGACCCAGCCGACTTTGCGCCGACCCACTCCTAACCATAGTTCGGCGTTCTCCTAGCGCTCGGGAGTCTGATTCATGAATATGTGACAGGGGCTTAACTAGGAGAATAGAGTTTGAGAACAAGGATGCTACATTTTGCGACAGAGAATACTGGTCATCTCTTTAGCGACTTGCAAATTATTAGAGCAGTTCATGGTGCACTGTCTTGCCATTTACTGGTGCCAATCAGTCCGCTAACGCTCTGAATCTGCTGTGTCCTATCGAGCCCAATCTAGTGTAGAATACTTATAGGTCGACGTCGTTGTCGGTTCTCATGTTTTTTATTCGGAGCGTAATAAATCAAGGAAACATTTTACAGCTGGAAGTTTAAGCCCCTGTCACACATTGCCAAATATGGCCTTCCGAACCCTGCCAAACTCCCCCAACTTTAGTCAGCAGGTCGGGAGCTAGGTCGAACCATAGCCAAATTCACCAATTGCAAACGCCAACCGACTTTACGTCCACCCAGCCATATAACTATGATCAGCGGGCATTTGACTTGTGTTTGGGAGGCCAAATCTATGACTGTACGAGAGGGGCTTCAGACCCTCAACCTTCGCCTGCCTCTCAAGCTAGCTTCAACAGACCGAAGCCGAACAGTCGATCCAGGTTCTCACGTTGGTGACCCCCCCCCCTTGAGTCTCCATACCTTCTGACGTTTCGAGTACTGTTTTAGCAACTCGAAACTGACTTCTCACCTTCCCAGATGGAAAAGGAACAACATGATATTGACTCCCTTAGCCACCCCCCCCCACCCCAAAAAATAAAGCATTATAAAGACAACAAAGTACAAAGGGCTAGGAATAGTGCGATTTGGCAAAAATAGGCCTCTGTCAGACTTTCTACCTTCTCCTACTTCACAACCTCCAGCAGGCAGAAGTCAAGGAAATCTCGCGGGTTCTCACGATCCAGGTGTTAACGATGGCGAGATATTTTCCTCTCTTATCACATTTTGGACATTGTAGAACCCTTTTAACACTGGCCTTATTACTGAAAAATACGCCAGCCTATTCAGATCCCCCAATTCATATCCTCGCAAATGATGGCACACGTTGTTTTAAGTATCTGCGCCCTCTAGCGGATTGTATCAAGAATACTTCCCTTACACTGGGAATAGATCTGATCAAGACCTTGAACATTGCACGGAGATATCGATGATGTCAAAACGGGAGACAATGGGTTCTTCTTCTCCGGTCGTCCCTGTCCTCCACCAGAGCTGAGTTTTGCTGTGGCGGTGTTTGTAAGCCCAGCAACTCGCTTCAGGTTGTCAATACCTACCGAGTACCGACCTATTACATATCGAGACAATTTAAAGCATTCTTGAACTATCGTGTTTAATTACAGACAGGCTTCCAAGTCTTAATCAGGTTCCTGAGTCTTATCAGGTTTACCATGCACTTAGAATTAAAGTCAATCTGTGTTGGTACAAGTCTTTATGATATAAAGACTAAGGTTTGAAGTCCAACACTAACTACAAAGAATTGGAACTTAACCCAAATTTTCGGTTGACCCTATCAACCTTGTACATAAGAGCTCACAGACCTACCCTGAGTAGAGACGGGGGGCGACACAAGTTATCTGGCACGTATGATCCGCTACTACGGGCACGTGCCTTCCGTGAACAAGGTTGATGGAGTCAACCGAAAATTTGGGGTAAGTCCCAATTCTTTGGAGTTAGTGTTGGAAGTTAAAACTTCGTCTTTAATGATAATAATAATAGTATGGTACATCATTCATTTGCATATGTCTATACCTCGCAAACGTCCACCCACGTCCACAGAATTCGAAGAAGTTGGACCAGTCCACTTCATCTCCCTGCAGGGTAGGGACAGCTTAGCACCATAAAAAGTCTCTAAATCCATACATACATTTCTTAATTTTTCTTTTACGGAACCAACTTTATATATCTTAGACTTAGAGCTCCAGCAAAAGACTTTTCGTCACATCTCATGCACATTACAATGTAAACATTTTTAGACTTCAATACCTTGATGTTTTATATAGTATTAGCTATGACTTCTTCACGTGGGTATAACGTATGTGGAATATGTTTTTTTCAACATCCATATTTTATCGGGATCGAGCCTATATTGTCTCGTTGAGTTCGGCTCCACCTGGACCCAAGCCGCTCACATAAGTCTCACTGTAAGTACTGAATGTCTCAATCCTTCCATCTTACCTAAAGCTTGTTATATTTTCTTAATATGATCTTCTTGAAATTCCGCAGTAGAAAATCAGTTGCTGTGTACTATGCACATTTTTTCCTAAAATGAACGAAACACGTTCCAAACTGTGCAGAAAATTTGTACTTTCATCTAATGTAGAACCACAAATAAATGTTTAACCCGAACTGTGATTTAAACACGAATTTAGCTGCTCAGGAATACAATGTTCTCTTCATTACATGTACGTAGGCATGTATCTATACGTTCCTTACTAAGAAAGAATGGAAAACTTATGATTAAATAACCTCAAGGTAGTCAAACATGTCAAATTTGTAAAAAAAAATTATTATCGGCAGGGCAGTGCCCAAAACTGACGAAAAAAGATAGCGGTACAAACAAAAATTAGAAAAACACCAAAACCACGCCTAAATAAGCCTAGACCTCAGCTTGGAGA